CAGCTGCCCGCCTCGGACATCCGCGCATTTGCCAGCAGCTGCACCATGCATGGCCTGGGCCACGTCTTCGGCCCGGGGGCCCCGCCAGCGCGCCGGGGGCTGTGGGCTGCTGCCGTGCTCCTGGCACTGGCCACCTTCCTGTACCAGGTTGTGGGGCGGGTGCGCTACTACGGGGAGTTCCACCACGAGACGGCCCTGGAGGAGCGCGAGAGCCGCCGGCTCACCTTCCCAGCTGTCACCCTGTGCAATGTCAACCCGCTGCGGCGCTCACGCCTCACACCCAATGACCTGCACTGGGCCGGGCCTGCGCTGCTGGGCCTGGAGCCTGCTGAGCACGCCGCCTACCTGCGTGCCCTGGGCCGGCCCCCCGCGCCGCCCGGCTTCATGCCCAGCCCCACCTTCGACGTGGCCCGGCTCTATGCCCGGGCCGGGCACGCCCTCGAGGACATGCTGCTGGACTGCCGCTACCGAGGCTGGCCTTGCGGGCCCGAGAACTTCACCACGGTGGGTGAGCCATCCAGGGCCAGCCTCCCCCAAAGCCAGGGATCCTGGACAGCCCAAGGGGACAGAGCCCCCTCCCGGCCCTCAGCTGGACCGCAGAGGGCAAGGTCACAATCGGGGCACTGAGGGCCCTGACCCAGGCTGGCTCTGGGCCCAGGTCTAGTCTGGGGAGAGCCTGCTCCTGGGGAGTTGGGGGCATCTGGTGTGCAGGGGCAGGGTCCCCCCTATTTCTCTGCCAGCAGGGAGGGGGCTTGGTTTCCCTCTGCCTCTTCTGCCAGACCTGAAGGAGGGCAGCTGGGACCCTCTTCCTTTTATGCCAGTCTCCAAAGAAACACTTGTCCTGCGGGCTGTGCCCGGGGCCTGCGGTGAGGGTGAGGCATGGGGTGATGGGAGCTGAGGGTCCAAGTCCATTCGCCGGTTGAGGGAGGGTCTGGAGGCATGAGGCTTCCCTGGTGGCTCAGCTACCAGGTAAAGAATCTGCCTGCAGGGCAGGAGACCAGGGTTCAATCCCTAGGTCGGGAAGATGCCCTGGAGAAAGGATAGGCTACCCACTCCAATATTCTTGGGCTTCCCTGGTGGCTCAGCTGGCAAAGAATCCACCTGCAATGCAGGAGACCTGGGTTTCATCCCTGGGTCGGGAAGATCCCCTGGAGGAAGGCATGCAACCCACTCTAGTATTCTGGCCTAGAGAATCCCATGGACAGAGGAGCCTGGCAGGCTACATAGGGTCCATGGAGTCGCAGAGTTGGACATGACTGAAGCGACTTAGAACACACGCTGGGGGCCTTAAGAACACGTTGGCTTCAGTGTTCAAAGAGAGAGCCAGGCAGAGGCTGGGGAGGAGAGAGGTGGCAGGGTCCTTGCGCTGGCCTCGGGAAAGGGCTGGCTGGCCCCCGTAGACGTCTGTCCTCTGCTTGCCCCCCAGATCTTCACGCGGATGGGGCAGTGCTACACCTTTAACTCCGGCGCTGACGGAGCCGAGCTGCTCAGCACCCCCAGGGGCGGCATGGGCAATGGGCTGGAGGTTATGCTGGATGTGCAGCAGGAGGAGTACCTACCCGTGTGGAGGGACATGGGTATGGGGAAGGGGGGAGCAGGCCTGCGTGGAGCCTGGCCTGTCCTTTCCTGTGGGAAGGGGCGAAGTTAGCTGGTCACAGTCCTGGGGAGAGGGGGCTGCAGCAGGGAGCCCCCGGGGACCTGGGCCTCAGGACTCAGGGTCCCCCTCTTTCTGCAGAGGAGACCCCATTTGAGGTGGGGGTCCGAGTGCAGATCCATACCCAGGAGGAGCCGCCACTCATCGACCAGCTGGGCTTTGGGGTGGCCCCTGGCTACCAGACTTTCGTGTCCTGCCAGAAGCAGCAAGCATCCTCCCTGGTGCCCCACAACCCCCCTCCTCATCCCAGCCCCCACCCCACCCCCCCAGACCCCATCCCAGCTCCTCACACCCGCCCCAGGGAACTCGCTGCTCCCCAGGGAGCCTCCTTAACCCTCCCGCCTCCAGCTGAGCTTCCTGCCGCCGCCCTGGGGCGACTGCAGCTCTGTCTCTCTGGACCCTGACTTTGAGCCAGAAGCGCCTGGTCCTCTGGGTACCCCCAGCCCTGGCCTCAGCCCTCCCTATAGTCTAATGGGGTGTCGTCTGGCCTGCGAGAGCCGCTACGTGGCCCGGAAGTGCGGCTGCAGAATGATGCACATGCCGGGTAAGGGGCTGGGGGCCGCAGAGGAGGGGGTAGGGGAAGCGGGTGTCCTGGGGGCCGCTCCTGAAGCTGTCTCCTGCCCCCTCGCCCCCCGACGTGCAGGCAGTGCTGCAGTGTGCAGCCCCCAGCAGTACAAGGACTGTGCCCATCCGGCGCTGGGTAAGTGGCGAGCCTCCCCCGCACCCCAGCCCCATCCCCATCCCGCACCCGGCTCTGACCGCGGCTCTGACCGCAACCCTGACCCAGCGCCGGCCCCATGGGGCAGGCGGCCCTGACCCGGGCGCCTGTGGCCGGCAGACGCCCTGCTGCGGAAGGACGCGTGCCGCTGCCCCAACCCGTGCGCCAGCACGCGCTACGCCAAGGAGCTCTCCATGGTGCGGATGCCCAGCCGCGCCGCCGCCCGCTACCTGGCCCGGAAACACAACCGCAGCGAGGCCTACATCGAGTGAGCCGAGCAGGGGCCCGGGGGCGGGGCGGGGCGGAACCTCCGTGCGCACGCAGGGCTGGGAAACCCGGCTACCCATCGCTCCCCGGCTCAGGGGGCTCTGGGCAAGCGGCTCAACCTTCCTAAGCTGAGTTCTACCACCAGCCCCCCCCTCCCTACCCGGGCTCATGAAAGGACCCAGAGACCAGAGAACAGCGTACCCGTTCCTGCCAGCAGCCTGCACTAGGGGTGTCCAGCAAACACTCTTCTCCTCTAGGGAGAATGTGCTGGCGCTGGACATCTTCTTCGAGGCCCTCAACTATGAGGTGGTGGAGCAGAAGAAGGCCTATGAAATGTCCGAGTTGCTCGGTGTGTCTGCGCCCACGTGCAGCGAGCGCCCTGCGGCCTGGGGGGAGGCGTGGGCAGGGCAGACAACTGTGGGCTGACAGGGTGACCCCGGCTCCACAGGTGACATTGGGGGCCAGATGGGACTGTTCATCGGGGCCAGCCTGCTCACCATCCTGGAGATCCTGGACTACCTCTGTGAGGTGGATGGGCCTGGGCCCCAGCTGGGGGAGAGGGGGAGGAGTCAAGCCACAGCATCCTGGGGTGGGGTTTAGTCCACCTCCAGCACTGCTCCTCCCCAGGTGTTCTGGGACAGAGTCCTGGGCCGTCGCTTCTGGAACCGAAAGCACCCCCAGAGGCCCTCTAGCGCCAATCTGGTAACAGCCCCCCGACCCCCAGCCCTGCCATCACCACCGTGGGTGCTCAGCCCCTTCCTAAGTGGAGAACACCATCCCTACCCAGTTGGGAGACAGGGGAGGGGAGCGACCCGGGCTGGTCCCTGGCGGGGGGCGGTGGGAGAGGCCCCCTCCATCCCCACCCCCACCTCTGACCCTCTCCTCCTCTCCCAGCTTCAGGAAGGGCCAGGCGGCCATCAGACCCAAGTTCCCCACCTCGGCCCAGGCCCTAGGTAACAAGAAATGGCCTCCTGAGGTCAGGGAGGAGGGTAAAGCTTAGGTCTGGGAGGGCAGGGGCCAGGTAGGCCCCGTCGCTGCAGCCGGTCTGTCTCCCCAGACCTCCCACTCACCGCTCTGCCGTCGCCAAGACCTTCTCTGCCTCCCACCGCACCTGCTACCTCGTCACCCGCCTCTAGACTTGGGCGTGGGGGGCAGGGGCTGTCTGTGTCTTCAAGGCCGCACCCCAACACCCTGGACGTGACCAACCTGCCTGTGTCTTTGCCGCCTTTGCCCCAAATAAAGCTCTAGCGCATCAGCCTCTGCCGCCGTTCCTCTTATAGGCCGACTGGCCCGGCCACCCTCAGCCCTACTCAGCCCCAAGAAGGCTCCTGCCCACCGTCACCCAGCAGATGCGGTGTCTGAAACGTTAACCCCCCAGAAATCTATGGGAGGGCAGGGGTCACTGCACCTCTGTGTGAGTGAGTTTTGTCAAACCGACATCTCAGAGACAGACATGAAGGCAGACCCGAGGCAGCGGTAGGACGAACCCCTGGGGTCCTGTCAGGGAAGGGCGGCCGGGAGGCTCTTATCTGGAGCGCCCCCACCCCGAGGAGTGAGGGAACAGGTTTCGGGAAGCCTGAGGGGCAGCCCACTCCCAGGAACCAGGATGTTGTCCTGTTTGAGGCCGTCATGACTTTTTCTCACGTTAGGGACTGAGTGCCGGCGTGCCCACCCCACCGCCCCGTCTCCATGGGAACCTCTCTTTGCTTCCCCAACCTCCTGGCAAGAGCTGAAGGCCTCAGCTTGGGGTTGGGGCACGGGGGGAGCCCTGGCCCTCCCCACCCCTCCCAGGAAGCACACGCCCAGACCCGCTTTCCCTGCACCTTCTCTGCACCCTAAGTGTCGAAAAATGACAAAATTAGGGAGCAGGGCTGGGGGGGTTCCCAACCATGGCTGCAGATCTCTCCTGGCCCAGCCTGCAGGCCTAGGTGTGGTGGATGAAGGCGGAAGAGGAGGGGCAGGCACAAGGGACCAGAAGAACCAAAAAGAAAGGCCCACTCTCTGCTCCCCATTTCTGGTGGTTGCTCCCTATTTCCAGTGGAAGCCCATCCTTGCCTTTGGACCAGCCCCTCTTGGGCAGAGGAGAAGGGGGCGGGGACGAGAGCACACGAACTGCACACGCACACACACGTGCAGGAGCAGCACTGCCCCTGCCCCCCGAGCACAGTCACACGGGATGAGCGTCACAGCCGCCAACCCCAGCTTCCGGCCACTTGCAGTAACAGAGCAAGGGCGGGACAGGTTGCTAGAGCTGGGAGCAGGGTGACAGAGGGCGACCCAGCGACGCAGACGGCCCCCAGCACAGCACCACCCCACCCCACCCCACCCCAGAGCCGCGTCACCACCACATCAGCCAGACAGTGGGAAAGGAGCCAATTTATGAAATTAAATAAAGTCCACGGAGGGAGTGAAGACCATGGGTGAGGGCACCTCCACCCTGGCCGGCCCAGCACAGCTGGAGCTCGGCACATGGCGCATCCCTGCCTTTCGCTCCCTCCCCAGAAGGGGCATCGAACAGGCCAGGCCCCCAGCCCTGGAGCCTAGGGGGGGCAGAAGTCGGAGAAGTAAGGGTGCTGCAGGGCCTCCTCCGCCGAGATGCGCTGGACCGGGTTACACTTGAGGAGGTTCTGGACGACAGGAGGCGGCGAGATGGGTTCAGGCCAGGAGGCCCCGGGCTACCCCAATCCACACCACCCCCCCCACCAGCCCCAACAAGTGTGCTGGCCACCTCCCCACGCTGCCCTTCATCACCTGCAGTAGGTCCCGCCCTGTGGCATTGAGCTTGGGCACGACGTTCACCAGGGACGTTGTGGCCGGGTACATTGGGTAGGGCTGTGGGGGGGGCAGGGAGAGTCAGACCGGGGTGCAGGGGCGTGGAGGCTGCCAGAGCCAGACACTGGCGGGGGGGCTACGGATGAACCACGCACGACCCCTGCCCCTCTCTCCCCATCACACCTTATAGTCTGGCAGCTTGGTCATGGCAGGCCACTGCTCCTCGGTTGGCGTCCCCAGGAGTGTGTCCATGGGGTCAAGGGCCACTCAGGTGGAGGAAAGGGGCAGGTGAGGGGCTCTCTCCCTGGGGAAGAGAGGTTCCTCCTACCCACCCCCCCACCTCCCGGCCCTCCTCACTTCATCCCCCAGCTCATGACACAAACCAACACATGCCACCCTCATGCTCAGTCTCAGCTGCATGCTGTTTTAGCAGACCAGGTACTTGACAGCCGTGATTAACTACTTTGACCGAAGCCCTGAGGTCCGTGGACCCAGCCTCCCCCTCTATCCCATTCCTGCTCCTTTTGGCTCCCTTGCCCTGAAGACTCAGCTCTCCGCTGGGAAGGAGCGAGCCCTCCCTGCCTACCAGCCACACCAGCTAGCAGTATGCACCTGCCCCGTGACCTCCAGGGTGCTCACCACCCTCTGCCCTCAGGACAAGCCCGGAGGTGCCCCTAGTCCTGGCCCCGCCCCTCGCCGCCCTCCCTGCCTGCACTCTGAGCTCTGGGGGGGGCTTCCAGATCCCCTCCTGGGGGTTGGAGGCCGGCGTGAGGTAAAGGGAGACAGAAGGATATCGGAAGATCCTCTTCAGCTGGTCATCTACATCGTTGCCAGGAAAGAGGGGCCGCCCAGCGTTAGCCAGCTCTGGGAGAGAGGTGGGGGCAATATGAGCCCCTCACCCCCACGCCCCTTACTCCCACTGCAGGGGCCCCACTCCCTTCCCTGGAGGGACCCTCCACTCCAGTGGAACTCCGCAGACCCAGACAGGTCACCTGCGAAGATGCAGCCGGCTGACCACATGTCGATGGACGTGGAGTACAGCTTGGCCCCAAAAAGGACATCAGGTGGGCGGTACCACAGCGTGACGACCTGGAGAAGAAGACCCCACCCACAGGAGCCCCCCAGTTAGAGATAAACAAGGGTGCCCAGATAGGAGTCCTGGAGGAGGAGCTGAGCGATGCTCGTTGGGGAGCCCCTCCCTCGCTCCCAATATTCTCCCCACACCCCCACAGCTCACCTCAGCTGAGTAACAGCGAACGGGGATCCCAAAGGCACGAGCCAAACCGAAATCAGCCAGTTTCAGCTCCCCATTCTGGGGGGTGGGGAAACACCGGCAAGGAGAGGGGCTCTGCACAGTCTGAGGGCAGGCCCCCTGCTCCCACCTTCCTGCCCGGCTCCCCTCACCCTGCCCCAGCCTCCCAGACACCCTGCCCACTCCCCAGAGGTACCCTGTTGATGAGCAGGTTCTGAGGCTTCAGGTCCCTGTGTAGCACGTTGCGGCTGTGACAGAAGCCCAGGCCTTTAAGCAGCTGGAAGAGGAATGACTGGGGGCGGGGCAGGGAGGAGGTTATCAGACCCCCGGATGGGATGTGCACCCTGTGGGGGATCATGGGCCCTGAAACCCCAGCCATCTGTCAGCACCAAGCTCAGGGCAAGTCACCCTTCACTACCGAGGGCCTTCTTTGTACTCTGCTGGGTACTCAAAATGAACGCCGAATGGGGGAGCCCTGGTCCCCATCTTTCTGGAACTGGCAGCCTGGTGGGGCTTCCTGCCTTCCCATCCCACACTGCTCTCTCTCCTCTACCTGGCCTCATTTAACATGTACATCATAACCATCCATGTATATGTTGTGTCATGTTATCATTCATCATTCTCGAGAATCCCTTGAACAGCAAGGAGCTCAAACCAGTCCATCCCAGGAAATCAACACTGAATATTCATTGGAAGGACTGATGCTGAAATGTTCCAATACTCTGGCCACCTGATGTGAAGAGCCAACTTGTTGGAAAAGACCTTGATGCTGGGAAGGATGGAGGTCAGGAGGAGACGGGAATGACAGAGGTTGGATGGCATCACCGACTCAATGGAATGAGTTTGAGCAAGCTCCGGGAGATAGTTAAGGATGGGGAAGCCTGGTGCATTGCAGTTGATGGGGTCGTAGAGAGTCTGACATGACTGAGCAGCTGAACAACCACCACAGTCGTCAAGTATTTGTTTCCCCCTGGAACCTTGGACAGGGCACTTGGGCCTAGAACAGTGCCTGGCACAAAGCATTCAATAAGAATCTGTGGGATGAGTGAATCTCTCAGAACCTCATGTTCCCATCTCTCAAATGTAAATCCTATCACTGACAGCAGAGTTCCTTTCAGGTTAAAGGGATCGCGTGAAAATGATCACTAAGACGGAGGCTCCTGGAAGTAGACACAGGGTTTTCTCCTCCCCTTGTGCCGTGAGTGTCCCAGTGCGGGGCTTGAGAACACATTCACTGAATACAGACTCCAACTCCAGACTCAACGAGCTCCCAGGAAACCAGTTTCCTTACCTTCACTATTTCAGGATCTAGGTCACCATTGCAGCTGTCGAAATACTTCTTAAGGTCCTGAAAAAGGAACGGGGGTGGGGGATGGGACAGAGATGAACCTCAGCTGGGGTCCCTGTATCCTCCCAAGGCTACTGGCCCTCCAGCTCCCCTTTCACCTGGTCGCAGAACTCAAAAACCAAAGTCAGCTTCTTGTCGCTGTGTAGGACGTCATGGAGCCTGGGGAAAAGTGAGGGCTTGGGCAGGCAGGGCCACAGCCCGAACCTAAGAGCCCAATATCAGCCCAGCCCATCTCTGAAGCCCCCACCTCCTCTGACCCAGCCCACCCACACACCTGACGATGTTCTTGTGCTTCAGCTCCTTGAGTAAGCAGATCTCCCGAAGGGCAGAACTCGGCACGCCCTACACGTTGGAGGGGCCAGGTGGCCACAGTCACATCCCACCCGGCCCAGGCCCCCGGCCCCTCCCCGGCCCTGGCACCCCAGTCCTACCTCGTCATCGTCGTCCAGCCTCACCCGTTTCAGAGCCACAATCTCATGAGTCTCCCGATTTTTGGCCTTGAACACTGTTCCATAGGTGCCTAGAGGAAGGAGGGGAAGGGTAGGGAAAGGATGGGGCACATTTTCCCAACCCAGGAAGCCCCTGCCAGGACAGCAAGCAGCATGGGAGGGTGTTACTGCTGATGCTGGAGAAACAAGGGAAGAGATCCGGGGTAAAGGCCGGGCAGTGGCAGAGAGCTCTTTTGGGGGTGGGGGGTGGGGGGGGATGTGGCAGAGAGGTGCCTGCAGATGGCTCAAGGGTGTCTGCAACAGGCAGAGGCTGCAGGGGCCAGGTGAGGAGGTCTATCACAAAGGCCAAGCTTCTGGAGGGCCTGGAAATTGGGAGCAGGGGTCTGGGAAAGTAATGAAGGCCAGCAGGAATGCAGAGGTTGGAGGTCTGCAGCGGGAACTGAGGCTGGGACTGGGTGAGGTTGTGCAAGTGGTGCTGAGGATGGAGAGGAAATGCAGGACATAGAAGTCGGGAGGTGGGTCACTGGGAGTGCTAAGGTGGGCAGGGGGGCGTCCATGGGAAACGCTAGCAGGGGGAGGATTGCTGTCTGCATGGAGTGTTGAGCTGGGGGGCTAGGGCTGCAGCCAGTGCTAAGGTCGGAATCTGTGGGTATTGCTGACGGTAGAGGAGCCAGGGCTGTAAGGAATGCTGAAGGGTCTGCAGATTTTGCAGGAGCATCTCACGGTCCCATTACCTTCCCCAATCTTCTCCAGTTTCTCGTATTTCTGCATCGCGGCAGCCGCGCGGGGACCCTTGCGGGCCCTGGGTTCTAAGACTCCCGGCCCGGCGTTGCAGAGGAGGCGGTACCCCAGCCTCCGGGCCCTGCCCCGCCCTCCCGCCTGCGCATAGGCTTCTGGGGCTTGTAGTCCTAGGACTCCAGGTGTCCCAGTAGCGCCCGGGGCCGTAGGCAACAAGAAGACTACAACCCCCAGCAAGCTGCGCTCGGACTCGCTGCAGCTCTTGCCTCCCGGGGACTCAGGTTCCACCGCGGAGGCCACCCTTGGACTTCAAGTTCCAGGAAGCACTGCGTGTCCGCTTTCCCGGCTCCCCACAGTCGCGTGCGGCTCCCAGGGTGCCCCGCTCGGGTATCCCTTTCAGTGATTACACCCTTCTTTCGGAAAAGAGCCTCTCCGGGACTACACGTTCCAGAATGCAGCAGGGGTGGGGGCGGCGGGGTTGGGTGGGGTGGAGGGGCGCTTTCCAGAGTCTGGGTTTTGGCAGCCTGCCTCCCGAGCCCAGGTGGCCCTAGCTCTGCCCGGGTTGATGGTGTTGAGCTTCCAACGACCTCCTGACACTCCCATAACCGGTTTGAACCTCTCCCTGGGCCGTCCGGTGAGCTCAGGATTGCCTGGGGGATGGCTCTGAGCCATATCTTGCCGATGATGACTTCACAGGGGCCAGCTGTCCGCAAGGCTGGAATGAGAGACAGGTGTGCCCCATTGGAGGCTGGATTCACCATACGCCAGACTCTTCTCTCTCCCCTTTTTGTGGTCCTGGAATCCACCCGACTCCAGCAGTTCGCTCCACCCTGATATTCCGAGGCAAGCTGGCGCACTGGGGAGGTGTACCCCCGCCCCCACCCCACCCCACCCCCACCAGTCTACAGAGCCCCGGCCCACTGGAGTCGACCAGGGTGTGGCCCGAGGGCTGGCAGGTTGGTTACCGCCCTCAACAGACAGAAGGACAGACAGAAGCTACACTTGAAGCGGCCTTGACCTCATCCCTTAAGGAGTTGATTATAGATTTATCTTGTGGCTTCTCTCTAATTGTCTCATGATTGCATTCTTGAGGGCTGTGAACTGGATGAAAACTGCCCCCAAACAGCACTCCTCGGCGCCGCCGGAACCGACGTTGGGGCTTAAACAGTTTGTTAATTAACTCGTTTATGTCTGAACGTTTTCTGCGTACACAATGCTGTCCTTCCCTCGGTGGCAGACTCTCAGAAGCGAAACATAGATTCGCTTATCTGGAAGAATTTATAATTTGAGAAAACAAGAAATAGATCTTTAAATGACAGATGATGACTATGAATAGGGTTCGAATTGGGAGGGCACGGCAGGTAATCTCTCCGAGGCAGAAGTCCCCGGGTTCGGAAAGACTTAACTCAGCACAGAGTAATGGGTATCCACCCCGCGCCGCCATCACCACTCTTCGCCCCCACCCCCATCCTCCTGGCAAAGATAGGGGCTTTGGAGGCACTGGGGACAACTAGGGGTGGAAGGTTGGGGCTGCCTGCGGGCGCAGAGACTCTTGACCCACGATGCATTGACATTTCAATTTCCTCCGAATTGCCTGATAGCTTGGTGCCTCTTTTTTTTTTCCTGCCTGGGATCCCCAGGATGAGGCGGGCTTCCTTTCCGCCCAGAGGGGCCAAAAGAAGCCAGGAGACGGCGTCTCCAGACACCCGAGCTCGTTGCGGGGAAGCGCGGGGCGGCAAGCCAGGGGCGGCCTCCTCTGCTCTGGGATCCGGGCGCCCGCAGTGCTTGGCCGCGCGCCTCCACCCCCCGGGTCTCGGCCCCACTCCCCGCCTCCGGGCCCGCCGCGCCGGGGCCGCGCACGGTGCGCCGGGACGCGCGCACGTAGGGGGCTGGCCTGCCCGCGACGCGGGGGAAAGTTGAGTTGGGAGAAGTTGGGAGCGGCGGGGGACGCGCCCCGAGGTGGGCCCGGGGGAACCGTCGGGAGCGCGCTAGGGCTCCAGAGCCGGCGGGGAGAGAGACCCCGAGACCCCTGGAGCGCCAGGTCCAGAGGAAGCGGGTAAGCGGGGAGGTGGCGGCGGGGGAGGGCCGGGGCCACGGAGAGAGGAAGGGAGGGGGAAGGAAAGGGGGGAACTCGGCACTCGGAGCGGGGAGGGAGTGGAAGTGCAGGAAAGGGCGGAGACTGGGGCGCGGGGAGGCGAGCTCTTGGGGGAGAAGGATGGGGAGGCGAGCGGAGTGATTGCGGGTCGGTAGCGGGGTCTAGAGTCCGCTTCTTCGAGTTCCCTAAAGCGAGGCTGCCGCGCCCCCTGCCACCGGGAGGGGGCCCTCCCGACCCTCGGGCGGTACTTCAGACGACACCCGTCCCGTGCCACCCCCTACTCTAGCCTTAAGGCCCATCCAGGGTTACCTGCCTAAGAGTTGCTCCGAGCCTCAGCCTCTGCCCCCCAATCTCGGGCTTGGGAGGCGGAGCCAGGAGTGGGGGTGGCGGGTCAGGTCGGGACAAGGGGTCAGGCCGGAGTGGGAGCAGCTGGGTGGGGATGGGAAAGACGAGCCCGGGAGAGTGCGACCTAACTCCTGGCGGGGGTGGGGGTATGCTGGCCGGCTGGCCCGGGTGGGGAGCTCTGTGCTGGCTGTTGGGGTGCGGTGCTGACCTACACTCCAGGGTCCACTTTCACCTCTTCCCTGAGCGCCCCACTCCCGCCAGCCCCGCGTCAGGAGAGCGGTGGAATGTGCCAGTCCACTGCGGGGGCGGGGGGCGGCGGGAGCGATTAATGCCCATGTGGGGGTCCGGAGTGCTAATCCTTGGGCCGGTCGGGGCTGGTCCCTGGAATGTGCCCCCACCCCGGATTATCGACACCGATGTTCTGGACAGAGGCGGCTTTGTGTTCTGTGGAAGGCGCGGTGGGGGTGGGAGGAGGTAGAGGGAGGAGGGCGGGGGAGGACGCGGAGCACACCGAGAGCCCAGCCTGGAGGTGGGAGCCGGGCACCGGCAGGTGCCGGTCACTGCCTCCCAGACCAGGTCGCCTCCTCCAGCGCCCGGCGCCCCTACAGCAGACTTGCCCTGGCGCAGAGCCTGCCAAGGGGGGAGCTGAAGAGAGCACTCAGCTGAGCTGGAATGCCCCGCTAGGGGCATGGGTCGCTCCAGGTCCCCCACCCTGGACTGACCCCCAGACCTATATTGTTTGATCCTACACTGACCTGTGTCACCCCTGAGTTGGGCCCTAAATCCAGTAACCCTGAGCACCAACCCACCACCCCCACCCCCAGCGACACACCGGGGCAGTCAGTTCTCTTGCCATCACAGAGCACCCCCCCACTAGGAACGGGTCCCCCCAGTTTGCACTGGCCAGCTTCCCTAACCGCAGCCCTTCTGCTGGCCTCCTTCTGCACCCAGCATCCTCCCCAGACGCCCCTACAGTCACAGTCAGGAGGGCCTCAGCCGGCCACTCAGATTTTCCTGGCCGCGGGCTTGGGGAGGGGAAGCCCTGAGACTGCCCCCGAGGGCAGACGCTCAGGGTTTCTGTGTCCCCCTCCTCCCGGGGCATCACGTGCCCCTCCCCCAGTATAAAGCGCTGCCGGGCCAGTGCTGCCCTCCCACTGCCAGAGTGGAGCTGGGCTACCGCCCCTCCCCCGGGAGCCTCCTCCTCCCCCACTTTGGGGCTGGGCTTTTTTTTTTTTCTTCCGGAGGAGAGGGGCACAGGACGGCAGCCCCTGTTGCAGGCTGCTCTGGGCTCACTCCAGATTTCTGTCTGCCTTCCTTCATCCCTGCCCTGCCCCGTCCCGGCTCTGGGTCTCACCCCCCGGGTACACCCCTCTCCGGTCTCAGCCCTCTCTGCTCCCACTGCACTTCTGGCTCGGCCTGTCCTCCCTCTTCCTCTATCTCCCCACGCTGATCTCTGCTGCTGTCTCTCCAGGTCTGGGCCTGACGCCTTCCTGCTTCCCCCAACCCCTGCTGGGGTCTCCCACCCTCTGCTCTCTCTCCCTCACTACGCTCAGTCTCTGGGCCTGCTGAGCCTCCATCCTCGCTTCGGTCTCTTTGTTCCTCTCTTTTCTTCCTATAACTTTCTCTGCTGCCCGCTCCACTCTCCCAGAATCAGGCGCCAAGGCCCTTGGGAGCCCGGGAGGATCCTGTGCAACCAGGAGACCCCCCTGCGTGACTTCTGCAAAGCCCCCGCCCTCCCCTGGGCTTGCTGGGGGTGGTTTGGGGTAGGGGGGAAACTGTGCAATGTTGGGGTGCCCCCGCTGGCCTGGGACCTCTCTCACCCGGTGATCGGTGCCCTTCCCCAGGTTATGCCGCCACCTTGCCTCCCTGAAAGCCGCAGCTACAGCGAGAAGGGCTAAGATTTGGCCATGAGCAGCGGCCCCCGGCGCCCCACGTCGGGCGCGGATTCCTTCCGCACGGTGAGTATTGCCCACTGTCCCTCCTCTCCTGTGCACCACCATCCCTGGGGCTGTGGCTCAGGGTGTGTGCATGTGTGAGTGAAGAGGCCACCACTGGGGCTCTGGGCAAGGGTGAGGGTCTGTGTCAAACAGGGGTGTGAGTGTGTGCGTGTGTGAAGAGGCCCGAGAGGGGAGCCTGGGATGGACTTGGGAAGGGCTCTGCCATGCTTCTCTGAGCCTAGCACGGGCCACCAGGTCTGGGACAGGTACTGGTGGTGGCGGTCAGACAGCTTCCAGCCCTGGGGAAGGCCTCGCGGCTGTTCCCTGAGGCCCCGGGAGGTTGTTTATGCTCCTCCTCAGCGGGAGAGGAACTTTGGGAATCCTGGGTCTCTAACCGGCGACTGCCCCCTCCCCCGCCCTGGGTCTTGGAGGCTGCGCCCGCCCGGCCTGCTACTCGGGGCTTTTGGGCAGACCGCCCCGCCCCCTAGCCCCACGTGCCACCCAGGCCCGGCCCCTCCCGGCCCCCACGTGTCCGCCGTCCCACGTGTCCCCCTCCCAGTGATCCTGGGAAGGGCAATGATTAACCCCAGCGCGGCATCATCAGTGCGTCATTGGTCACTTGGGCCCACAGGGGCACGTGACCGGGCGAGGTGCCGGCCGGTCCCCTCCCCCTCCGCCCCCAGTTCACCCCAGCCGGCGGCCATGGACTTCCTCCTGCGGCCTCAGGTGCGAGGGGCTGTCTGCCCT